CGCATTTTTGCGCTCTCGCATGTTCCGCCTCCCCACGGTCCCGGACGGCGTCAGAGGCCCTTCAGATCGCTCCAAGACGGCCGAAGAGGCTCCCAAGGAAAGACCAGAGACGGCCCAGGAGGCTCCCCAGATAATTCAAGAGGGCCTCGAGAGCGCCCCAAGAGAGCCCCCAGAGCGACCCAAGAGGGCCCGAAGAGCGCGACATTTCGAGGTCTCCGGCCTGGCCCCTCGGAAGCCCCAATAAGCCCCCAAGGGCACCCCCACAGGGAAGCCCCCTGCGTATTTCCCAGAGCTTTCCGGGAACATGATTCCTTGGCCTTCCGCCCACCGCCCCAGCCATGTTTCCAATAGGCTTGCCGACAAAGCCCAAAAGGGCCCCTCGGTAAGCCCCCAGAGCTCCCCCTCGTAAGAGAGCCGAACAGATCATGCTCCCGGAAAGCTTCCCGGGAACATGATTCTCGGGTTGCCGCCCTCTCCCCAAACCATACATATAAATGCCTGCCAGGATAAAAAAAAAAAAAAAACGAGAGTCAGCAGCCCTACCTGCCGCCACGCTCGGAAACGCGTCAGGCCCCGAAGCCTCTGGAGGCCCCCAACGACACCCCAACAAATCATGTTCCCAGGAAGTCTTACGGCCAGCGCCGCCGACGTTGAAGGAGGACGGTCCAGGACACCCAGAAATCTTCCCAACAGGCTTCCAAGAGGGCGCCGAGACAGCCCAGGGCCGCCCCCAGACGGCCCAAGAAAGCCGCAACACAAACGAAAAGGGCCGCAAGAGGCCCCCAAGAGGCCCCGAAACGAGGACATACCGTTCGAACACGCCCAAGATGGCCTCCGGACGGCCCACAAGGCTTCCAACACGGCCCAAAGGGACGCCAAAATCATTGCTTGTCCTTAGGTTTTTGATGGATTTCAGACACCCAATGTCGCCCCAGCAGGCCCCCACGAGGGCGCCGAGAAGGCCCAGGGACGCCCGAGGCGGGGCCCGGGACGGGGCCCTCGCGCCGGGGGGGCCTGGGGGCCCTGCCGTGGCGCTGGGGGCCTCGTAAAGTCGCCCGAAGACGGCCCTGGCGTTTCCAGACAACGAAAACGACCAATGACCGCCCGAGATCACCCCGGAATTGGTCCCTGACTGTCCGAGGGGCCTCCAAGACGCCCCAAGAGGTCTCCAAGATGGCTCCCAAGGAGCCCCCGGAGGCACAACTAATTTGTTTTCCTTTGGTTTTTGATCGATTTTCGAGTTCTCGCCTTTTGAGTTTCCTGACGCTCCACGACGGTCCAAATTTCCGCTCCAAGGCATCCCCAGAGGCCTCGAAGACGGTCACAAGACAGCCCACGGGGGTGCCAAGACGGCGCCAGAGGCGCCCAAGGCGGCCCGAGAGGGCCCCAGGACGGCCCCAAGATGGAGCCAAGAGGGTTGACACGAACCGAAAATCCGAATCTTCCACCCCGAGAGGCTTTCAGGAGGCCACGAGAAGCCCTTAACAGGCTGCAAGAGGCCCCAAGAAGCCCCCCAGGGGGCCGAAGAGTATCCAAGAGGCCTCCCACGAAGGCCCCAAGAGGCAAACATCCATGTCATGCCATCGGTTTTTGATTGATGTTCGAGTTTTCAGCCTTTTGGCGTCCTGACGCTCCAAGACGGCCCAAAAGGCCTCCAAGACCAATCCACGATAGCCCAAGAGGCCTCGAACAGGGCCCAAGACAGCCCGAGAGGGCACCGATACGGCCCCAAGGGGGGCACAAGAGGGGTAAGACGAACCGAAAATCCGAGCCTTCCACCCCGAGAGGCTCTCAGGAAGCCCCAGAGGCCCCCAAATGGGACCCAAGAGGCCCTCAAGAAGCTCCCCAGAAGGCCGAAGAGGTTCCAAGAAACACTGTCTTCCCATAGGCTTTTGATGGATTTTGGAGTTCCCAGCCTTTTGGCATCCCGACACTCCAAGACGGTCCAAGTGGCCTCCACGGCCGCTCCAAGATAGCCGAAGAGGCCTCCAAGAGGGCCCCAAGACGGCCCACGAGGGCCCCAAGACGGTGCCCGAGGCGCCCAAGACGGCCCGAGAGGGCCCCAAGAGAGCCCCAAGAAGGGGAACGCGAACCCAATAGCAGAGTTTTCCGCCCTAAGAGGCCCACAGGAGGCCCCAAGAGTCCCCAACTCGTCCGACGAGGCCCCCCCAAGCCCCCCACCAGGCCCCAAAAGGCTCCCAGGAGACGTGCACGGGGCCTCAAGATAGCCGAACAGTGCTCTCGACGCATCAAAATTGTTTGCAGGAGGTCCCAGGAGGCTTCCGGATTGCCCCAATGTGGCCTCAAGCCTGGCCTCCACGCAGCCAAGACAGCCAATTGACTGCTTCAGACTGCAGAATCTCACTTTCCGACTGCCCGGAGAACCCTAACGATGCCCCCAAGGGACCCCAAGAAGCCCCAAGATACCCCCCCCGAGAAGCACCCAAGAGGTGCCTCCAACAGCCAATTGAGGAAGCACGAAGAACCCCCCAGAAGCCCTTCAGATGCCCCCACGAAGACCCAAGAGGTTCCCAGGAGGCCCTCAGGAGGCACGACTATGTCACGCGCCTGTGCCCCATAGCGCTGTCCAAGATCTTCTAGCGCGCCCCCAGCCTGGGCTAGAACCATCGCGCGCGCGAAGCGCGCGCGATGGTTCTATATATATATATATATATATATATATATATATATATATATATATATATATAAATGGGGAGGGGGTCCTGGACCTGGGGGGGGCCTCACTTTGCCCAGTGGCTGTGGTCACCCCCCCGCCGGAGACGCCAGGACGCTCCCAGGACCCTCTAAAATGGCTCCAGGACGCCCTCAGAACAGTCCAAGAGAGGTCCGAAGCGGCCCAGGAGCACTCCAAGACGGTTAAAAAGCTGCCAACGCGTCCCAGCAGGTCTCCGACAGCACTCCCGGGAGGGGCCCAATAGGAAATTGTCACTGATTTTTAGTGGGTTTTGAAGGGTTTTGGCGTTCTCCCCAGTTCGGCTTCCAGACGCTCCAAGGCGGCCCAAGAGGCCCGAAAGATCGCCTCAAGACGAGCCCAGAGGCCCCCAAGAGACCACCGAGACAGCCCAAGAGGGCCCCAAGACGGCCCAGGAAGCTTCCAAGACGGCCCAAAAGAGCACCCAGAACACTCCAAGAGGAACCCCAGATGGGGAACACGAACTGACACTTCGAGCCCTCGCCCACCAGAAGCTTCCAAGAGGCCCCCAGGAGTCCGCAAGAGGCCTCGAGAGGCCCCCAGGAAGCTCCAAGAGGCCTCCAAAAGGCGCCGAAAGGGCCCCGCAAGGCTTCCAGACGCTGGTGATAATGACAATGATGATTATGCAGGGCGGCCTCAGGCCCACAACCTAAATCCCCAATACTGCTCACGCGGCATGCAAGACGCTGCGGAGATATCCTCGAGTTCGGCGGGGGAGCTTCGGAGACGACGGTGACGAAAATGATGACGATGATGACGACTATTATGAAGTTGACGACGACGATGATGATGATGATGATGATGATGATGATGATGATGATGATGATGATGATGATGATGATGGTGGTGGTGGTGGTGGTGGTGATGATGATGATGATGATGACGATGATGATGATGATGAGATGATGATGATGATGATGATGATGATGATGATGATGATGATGATGATGATGATGATGAGGAATAATATCATGATGATGATGTTGACAGTGGGAATGATGATGATGATGCTGATGATGATGTTGATGATGGTGATCGTGATGTGAGTAATGGTGGTGATGATGATGGTGGTGATGCTGACGATCATGATGACGATGACGGTAATGCCGTTGAGGATGGTGATGCTGACGGTCGTTATGATGATGCTGCTGATGGTCAGGATGATAACGCCGATGCTGATAATAATGGTGGCGATGCTGTTTATGGTGCTTGTGATGCAGGAGTGGGCGGATGATGAAGATGATGACGATGATGATGACGATAACGATGACGACGATCACGACGACGACGATAATGATGACGATGGCGATGATGAGGATGATTATGTTGATAATTCAGGTGACGATATTGACGATAATGACGACGATGGCGATGATGACGACGGTGATGACGATGTTGCTGCTGATGGTGGTGATGGTGACGATTGTGATGATGGTGATGGTCATGGTGATGATGACGATGCCGCTGACGATGACGCCGCATATGATGGTGATGAGTATGGCGATGAGGATGGCGATGATGACGATGACGATTATCCTAGCTAGAACTTGAGCGCGCGCGAAGCGCGCGCGATGGTTCTAGTATATATATATATATGATTGAAGCACACGAACTATACGACGACTCTCCGCCTCTCACGTTCTAAAAGGTTCCATGCGTGGAACTAAGAAGTAGAGACACCAGAAACACATCAAATTAGATGCTGGTTGGTTGTTTCGGTTCTGCTGTTTTTTTCTGATCCTCCCGCTGGGGGGCCTGCTGGACCAGATCCTCCAGCTCCGGTCATTGGTCACTCTGGAGGAGCGCCGTGCAGCCAGAAAAAAAAAGCAAGCCAGAACCAGCGTCCGCGCTCCTCAGCTGGCCAGGTGAGCAGCAGAATAACCACCTCCTCCTCCTCCTCCTCCTCCTCCTCCTCCTCCTCCTCCTCCTCCTCCTCCTCCTCTCCTCCTCCTCCTCCTCCTCCCCCCCCCTCCTCCTCCTCGATGAGCACAGCTGTAACGCTTAAGTCAATGTGCACCACCACCTCCTCCACCTCCTCCGCCTCCTCCTCCTCCCCCTCCTTCTCCTCCACCTCCTCCTTCTCCTCCTCCTCCTCCTCCGCCCTCCTCAGAGCCAGACGCTCCCCCCCCCCCCCTCTGACCTTCCAGCAGGGCTAAAAGATAGCACCCGACTTACAAACCTGTCCAAAAGCTATTCTGCGTCTTGGTTTTGGGCTGTTTCGCTCCGCTTTTTAGGTTTTTAGGTCTCCAGTGCTAAAAAATAGCTCTCTGGAAGGTCAGGGCCCTGGAGGCAGCCACTCCGGCACAGGACCCAGGGCATCCCCTTGGAGCCTCCCCGGGAAGCCCGAGACCTCCCCAGCGCTGCCCCTGGGCATCGCTCGGCCGTGTGCACTTTTCCTGCGGCGAGGACAGTCGAGGAGCATCCTTGATCATGTGGCGAAAAAGGTGCCCAGACATGCGACGTCCTGATTTTTCAGGACGGCGTCCCTGGAAGCCCAGGCCCTTTCCCCGGGGCCGGTTCTTCGTCCCGACTCGTTCTCTGACGGTCCCGAGGCCCAGCGAGGGCCCCCCAGGGCCGAAAATAGCGAAAAGCCGAGCTCCCGTCCTGCTTCTTTTTGACGACGCCACCGCGTCTGGGAGCCGCGCGCGAAGCACCGACAAGAGCGCAGGGAAGGGACGTCCGAGCGATGGCGAGGCCCGCACAGCCGCCCTGCTGACGAGACATGGCCGCGGTCCGGGCCGTCGCCGGCCCCCGCGCCGCGTGCCGCGGCGCCGGCGCGCACGTGCACCTGGGCTTCCAGGCGGCGGCATGCGGTGGAAGGGCGGGGGCCTGCGGGATGGGGCCCTGAGCCTGCCCAGACATGCTGGCGTCGTGGAGAAGACCCAGAGATCCAGCGCATATTGAAAAAGGCAAGACGGAGGTTTTTCACCGTGTTCGGCCTCCAGAGGCCCTCGCCGGGCCTCGGGAGCGTCAAGAGTCGACTCAGGACGTCAAGCCGGTCCGGTCGAGACTTCCGGGGTCCCCGTATTGAAAAAATTACGACGTCGGATCTCTGAGATGGCGTCGTTAAAAAGAAGCAGGACGGGAGGCTTTTCGCTATTTTCGGCCTGGGGGGCCCTCGCCGGGCCTCGGGACCGTCAGAGAACGAGTCAGGACGAAGAACCGGCCCTGGGGAAAGGGTCCAGGCTTCCAGGGACGCCGTCCTGAAAACATCAGGACGTCGCATGTCTGGGCAGAAGGGTGCCCAAGGTTGGATGTGCGCCGCCAGAGGCTCCTCGTCCAGAGGGCCGCATCCCTCAGGACCCCACCTCTGAGCCACCGGCAGGCGCCCTGCGGCCCCGGCGGCTGGGGGTGCGGCTCCCCATGCTTGGGGGGCCTGGCCTGCGAGTCCGAACGGCCCACCGCCCTGCCGCTGAGCTGCTGCGGAGGCGCGGCGCCCGACAGGCTCACCTTCCAGTCGGACGCGTCCGAGAGGGTCAGCTGCGGCTCCGTGGCCCGGGGCGCGCTGCGGGTGGAGCCGCCGGGGCGGTGGACCTTCGGCTCTGGGGCGGGCACTGCTGAGCTGCTGGGCGGCGGCGAGGATGGCCCCAGCGACGGCGAGGAAGCCGACGCGGACGGCGGTCCTGCAGAAGATCTTGGTGTGGCCCAGCACGGACGACGAGGGCGAGGGCGAGCCCCAGCTGAAGGCCGCGTGGGAGCTCTGGCCCCGGCGCGCGCCGCCGCCGCGGCGCCGCCGGGTCCCGGCGCCCCGGCGGCGCTGCCGGGTCCCCGCAAGGCCCGCCAGGCTGCGCCGCCGCCGGCGGCGCCGCGGCTCCCGCCGGTCATCCACGCCCCCGCGGCGGCTTTCGCGGCGACGGGCGGGGCACCGCCGCCGGGAGTCCCCGCGCCTCGGGAGGCGCAGGCCCGGGAGGTGGCCCACGAGTGGGGGGCGAGCCAGAGGGGTCGGCGCGACGATCGGCCCCAGATCACAACCGTGGTGGTGCGCAACTTGCACGTCCGCACGTCTCAGCAGGAGTTCCTCGACGAGGTCAACCGCAGTGGCTTCGCGGACATGTACGATTTCGCATACATCCCAAGGAGCTTCGAAGACGGCTCCGGGAAAGGCAACGGCTTCATCAATTTCAAGACTCGAGAGGCGGCCAGGGCTTTTGCGGCCGCGTGGCACCGCTCCAGGCGCCTCGGCATGGAGGACGAGACTGGCCGAGTAGTCCCCCTCAACGTCTCCAGCGCTTCTCTGCAGGGCCTCGCGGCCAACCTGCGCAAGTGGACTGGCGCGCGGGTGACGCGCGTCAAGAATCCAGAGTTCTTGCCTTTCGTCCTCAGGGACGCAGAGCCAGAGCCGCATGCCTGCGTTCTGGAGAACCCAGGTTCTGCCGCCATCGATGCGACGAGACCTCGCTGAGACCACAGGGCTTCTGCCAATTGCACCTCGGACGTGTCGTAGAATTGGTTTTGGGCTCGGGCCCAAATAGATTTTCACAGAGCTGGCCACGGGATGTATCCACAATCACGCCTGGTTTGGGCCACGTCTGTCTTACCGTTTAGCTTCCGACAGGCGCGCTGGTGCGTCGCAGTTGAGCGCGTTAGTGGCTCTCCGCTGCCGCGACCCATAGAGACGACGTAATTACGTAGCTTGCTGTGGGACTCAACCTCCTGAGGAGAAGTGGGAGGAGGGAGGCTGGGACGGGCCCGAACGACGAATCTGAGCACTGCTGTGGTGTGGAGATGTGTTCCTAGAGCGGCACATGCGCCCCTGACAAGATGGATCATGTAAGTCGCCAGCGCCGAGGCGAGAGCAGGGTCCCAGAGTGATTTGTAAGGCTGTCTCAGGCGGGTACGCCATGCCTGAATATTTGTCGAGGATATCGAGGAGGAGGAGGACGACGACAATGAGAACGGCGACGTGCGGGCCGATCAGGAGCAGGATGTTGGAGCCACCCCGGCTCTAAAAGTGTTGTGTTGGGGATACTGTGGTCTGGCTCTGCTTTTCTGCGTGCGTGCTTGGTGGATAGGGAGCTCCCTCGCCTGGAGCTCCCGCTGTGAATGGTCTGCAGTATTTGTGTGTAGGTTTAGCATGTTGTAGAGGATCAGGAGCCTTGGGGTATGACCCTTGCGAGACAAGGGCATTGGCTCAAGATCCATCGGCGGAAAAGGCAATCGCTCATCCTGCTGCTGCCACAGTTGGTAGCGGAGCGGGGCTAGCCATGGCGAGCGAGGGTGGCGCCGCGCACTGCTGAGGCGGTGGTGCGGGCGCTGCTCGGCGGCCGGGCTGGCACCGCTCTCTCGGGACGGACGGTGCGTGGATCCACGGCGAGCGTCGAGATGCCAGGATCACCAGAAGAAGACGGTGAGACTTTTGCGACCATCGGGAGCGAGGGGGGCCAAGCGCGGGGGAGCGCTGCCGGCTCTCGCACAGCTTCCGGGGTCGCTGGGGAGCAGTCGAGTCAACAAGCGGACCAGTTCGAGGCAATTCGGAGGATGGTCCAGGAAGAAATGCGAGCATTTCGAGATTCAACAACAGCAGCCGCATCAGCGGCCACCAACGACGCCAAACAGGACTCGGACTCTCGGTGGAAGGACGACCGCTGGGAGTCGAGTGACCCATGGGAGAAGGAGGACCCCTGGGGCGGCCAGTCAAAGGGAGAGCAGTCCACAACGGACTGGTCTAGGCGGCAGCAGTGGAAGGACGACGGCTGGCACGACCAGGGCCACAGCTGGAGCGGTTCGAGGCAGGACTGGTGGCCCTCGGTGAAGGGCGACTACTCTGACCCCCCAGCGTGGCCTGGCTGGGGTCACTACAGGTTGTGGAAGAGATCGGTTAGACGATGGAACAGCAACACTGATGTGCCTCTCTGGAGGCGAGCCGAGAAGTTTCTCAAGTTCGTCGAGTGGTCGATGCAGGCCAAGTTCGAGGACATGGACGAGTATACCCTGTCGAGCGAGGGCTGGCTCGAGGCGTTCCTCAAGCGCATGGACATCATGTCCGGCGAACGGGAGGGTGACGACTTGAGGCGAGCCGGGAGGCGCGCCTTGTTTGAGTGCAGTCGGATGGCCAAGGAGTCTCTCACACAGTACGTCGCCCGTCGGGACCAGCAGTTCAGTGAGGCCGAGAGCTTCGACATCGGCATGTCTGAGAAGCTGAAAGGATTCATGTTAGAAGAGGGCGCCGGCCTCACAGCTCAGGCACAGCAAAATCTGAGAACATTGACGAAGGGGACGCTCGAGTACAAGCAGGTAGCATGGGCTCTGAGACAGATGGACTACGGCGGTGGCGAAAAGCTGCTCCCGTCTGGCGCTCAGGCTCATCCAGTGTTCGCCGCAGAAGTCGGCGGCACCGAGGGCGTCGACCAGTCTCTCCTTCCTCCTCCCCCCCCCTTTCCGGGCCAGTCTTTCCCGGCCAGTGCGGGGGGCCAGGGCGAGGAGCAAGACGAGGACTCGGACGACGGCCAGGAGGACGATGACGATGAGGAGGTCACCGAAGAGGACCTGCAGGCCATCCTAGCGGAGATCGAGGATCTCAACATCGACGAAGACGAGGCGGAGGAAGTGTTCCTGCAGCTGGAGCAGCGCAACAAGAGGACGTGGAAGCAAAACAAAGATATCAAGCGGGCTGCGAGGCAAGACCGCGAGTACTACCGGCCTCGAGAGCGACCTCGGGCAGAGGATCGAGGTGGCCGCGGCCGAGGACGAGGAGGTGCTCGATCAGGAGCGGCCGGGGCCTCAGGCCGCGGCGGACGAGGAGTGCGTGGCGAGCGTCGCAGCAAGCTCTCGATCACCCAGTTGATGAAGGTCACCCACTGCAAGCGCTGTGGGCAGAAGGGCCATTGGTCACGCGAGTGCACCAACCCGCCCAAGGACGGAGCTCTCGACAAGCACGACAAGAGGGGCGACAGGCGGGTCAGCGCCTACACCTTCGGCGGATGGTCCTTCCCAGTGCTGTCGAGCGAGATCCTGCAGCAGCTGAAGGACCTCAGAGGCCAGGTCGAGAGCGACGGCGTCTACCTGAACACAGCGCCGACCCAGGGCCTGGTGGGCCCGGGCGCCGGCTCCGATCTCGTGGGGCGCCTTTGCCTCAACCAGGAGGCTCATGCGCTGGCCCAGGTCGGCATGCAGTACGTGGTGGTGCCTCATGCATACAAGGCACCTCGCAGCGCGAAGGGCATAGGCGGGCAGGCGAGAGTGATGGGCACGATCTTGTTTCCTCTCTGTCTCGGCGGCGTCTTGGGAATAGTCGAGACAACAGTGCTTGACGAGGGCGTGCCTCGCATCCTCAGTGTGAATTTGCTCGACTATCTAGGATGTGTGCTCGACCTGCCCAGAGATCTTTTGAAGTCCCGCACCCTGGGGCAGACCATGCCCGTCACCGAGCTCAGTTCAGGGCATCGCATGGTAGATATTGTGCGCAAGCTAGATCAGCCTGTGGTGCCAGAGGTGGCACTAGCCAAGTACCCTTTTCTCTCGCCGACTTCTTTTCATGCGTCCACAAGCACGGAGGTTCACGAGGTCGAGGCCGGCGGGTCGCTGCTCGAGTACATCGCCCTCCTCTTCCTCCTCCTCATCCTCTTTATCTGGGACCTGTGGATCAGGGGCCTCGAGACGCTCAAAGAGGGGATCTACGGGCTCACGGGTGAGATGGCGAGGAGGCTCGGGCAGCGGGGGGACCCCTTCAACAGGAACCAGCCACGGGCTCAGCCAGCTAGCTTGGGATCTGCAGGGGCCTCAGGATCCGTGGGATGTGCTAAGGCGGCGGGGCAAGGTCCGGGGCTTAGACCTGAGGGGCAAGACGGGTCCAAGACGGCCTCAAGACGACCTCAGGACAGTCTTGGGAGGGCCATCGAGGCCAGGACCGGAGCTCTCGACCTTGTCTATCGCAAGGTCAAGCGCGGCTTGATCGCGTCCAGGATCCGAGAGATAAGTGTCCTTCCAGGCTTCTCCGTAGCCGATTTTGGCTCGGGCCTTAGCTATCACGATTCGGACTCGCGAGCCCACCTAGTTGTCGAGAGCAGCAACTTTCCCAGCCATGCATGCCACGATGATCAGGGTGCCGCTCGCTGTCCTTGCGGCGGCGATCGTGCTTTCCCCGACAGTCCAGGCCGGGAAGAAGAAGTCTCCAGGAGCACAGGAGGCCACCGAGGAGTTTCTCGCTCGTCGTGCTCGAACCCTGGTGGAGATCGACACCAATGCGAGCCAGGGCGAGGCCGCAGAGCCGCAGGCAGCACAGCCGGCGCCGCAGGTGGTGCAGCCGGCGCCAGGAGGCTTGCAGTCCTTCGCGGGCAGCTCGGCGGCAGCGGTCTGCCCGACAATTTAAGGGAGATCGGACGTGTGTCTCAGGTGATCGATCGCATGATCGAAGTCACCACGGCTGCGCAAGAACAGCCCACTCAGACGTTGGAAGGGCTCCAACAGATCTACCAGGGGGTGACTCAGATCAAGCGGACCCTGTCGTCCCTCGAGGACCTGGGGGAAGCGGTGGACACGCTCCAAGAGCAGATGAACCAAGCACAGGCGACGCTGTCCAACATCGAGTCGTCCATGGGCCAGCTGGGCCAGATGATGGTGCAGATCGGGAACGCAGTCGCTGGAATCTGCCAGGTGATGCACAATCAGAGCCATCGGCCGACTCAGATTCCAGACGATCCCTGGGTGGGACACCTGAGCACGGGCAGAGGTGGCTCGTCGGGGAGCGGAGGTCCGCCTCCGCCGCCACCAGAGGAGCCCGAGACCAGCCAGGGAGGCCAGCCCGGGCCCACGACAACGTCGACGCCTCCGGAGCTTACGACAACAACGGACTACGAGGAGCAGCATCCGACGATCAACGAGGAAGCAGGCGACGTCACCTGGGAGCTCTTGAGCGACACCGAGGGGCTGTGCTGAGACCGACCGTGCCCTGTCAGCATGCGAGCTCGGGAGGCGTGAAGACGTCTTTGAGTCTCACGTCGAGTTTTAGCCCTTGTGGTCGTGCACCTTCTGGCGCCTGCGGCGCGCCGGAGATTTACCCTCCGCCGCCTCCCTCGCTGTGTTTTGCTTCGGTCCCGGGCCCGTCGGAGCCGGAAGGCGGAGCTCTACGGAGACGCCTCACTGGGTCGCAACTTCGCCGGAGAGCGCTACTGCGGGAGCTTGAGTCCCGGGCGGTTTCGGCGGCCGACACCGAGTTCGAGGGGGCCGAATGGTTGGACGGCGACCTTGCTAATGACGATCACGAGGTCACGTGCAATCGAACCGTGCGTGGGGCCCTCGAGGCCATGGCCGCTAGCCACGAGGGGCATGTGGCCACTAAGGAGGACACGGGGCTCGTTCCCGGTCCAGGGGAAGGATCTCTTTCGCCGAGGTCTTCTCTCCACCAAGGATTGCCCCTCAAGTAAAAAGGCGAGGAGGGGTGCTCGGCAGCCGGCCAAGTTGGGATCTCTCGGTCGGTTGGGACTCCCGTCGGGTCCGAGATCGTCGCGAGTTGTGGGTGTGGCTCGAAGAAGAGGGACCCGAGACGGTTTGGCTGTGTCCTCCCTGCAGGGTCTTTTCGGCCATCAGCCGGCTGAGTGAGAAGGTCCGGGACCAGAGTAAGTGGGATCAAGCTGTAGTCGAGGGAGTCAACGACTTGATTCTCTGCATGAAGATAGCGGCATATCAGCACGTCCGGGGCAGGTTCTTTGTCTTTGAGCACCCCCTCTATGCGAGCTCGTGGAACACTAAGGTGGTGCGGCTGGTGTGGGGGCTCTCAGGCGTTCGTCGGATTAGGATCGATATGTGTTCGTTCGGACTGAGTGTCACTAAGGACGGGCTCAACAAGAAGCCCACGGGCCTCCTCACCAACCATCCGCGGATGTCAGAGGCTATGGACGGACATCTGTGCCCCGGTGGGCATCGGCATGTCTTGTTGGAGGGTAAGGCCAGGACCACCCGGGCCCAGGTTTACCCCCAGGCTTTCGTTGACTCGGTGGCCAGGGCTATCGTTGAGCATCAGAGTGGCGCCTCGGCCAAGAGAGCTGCCACATGGGCCGAGCTCGACGAGTCTCACTTTCCCGAGGAGGAGTTGCCAGACGAGGGGGATTTGGAGGAAATTCCCGGGAGTGATGATGAAGACGAGCCAGAGACCCGTCCGAGCAGGGCTACTAGACCCAGTGAGCCCCCCCCTGAGCCATCGGAGGACGAGAAGAGGCTGCTCTATCGTCTCCACGTGAACATGGGCCATCCGTGCAATCGCAAATTTGTGCGGGTGCTGAGGGCTGGGGGAGTGAAGATCCATTTGCTGAGATGGATTCGAGATCATTTCCGATGCTCAGAGTGTGCGGAGCGGAGCCGCACGGGAGCCCACAGGAGAGTGGCCCTTCCCCGCACGTTTCGTTTCAACCATATCATTGGCGTGGATCTGTTCTACCTCCAGTTTCAGGAACGGTCCCATTTCTCAATGTTGTGGGCCACGGTTCTAACCTCCAAGTGTGCGTCAGGGTGGAGGAGCCTCGCGCGGCCTCAGTTTGGAGTGCCTTCGTCCGGGCGTGGATCAGACGGTTCGGTGCCCCCCGCTTCCTTCTTTCCGACGGGGGCCCCGAGTTTGAGGACAGATTTGCTCGTGGCCTCGAACAGTGGGGAGTCCCCCACCATGTTTGCGACGCGAATTCTCCCTGGCAGAACGGGCGCGTCGAGAGGCATGGCGGGTGGATTAAGGAGCGTATCAAGGGGGAAATTGAGTCGGGCTCAGAGCTCCCCCGAGACTTTCAGGAGCTCGAGGACCTGGTCTACGAGCTTTGCTCGCACAAGAACCGGTTCTGGCACAGGGGGGGTTTCTCTCCGGCTCATTCGTTTTCGGTGAAAATCCCAGGTTGCCGCGCGAGATTCTGTCGGATGACCACATGGGCCTCCCTGGGTGGTAGGACTCGGTGAGGTCCGGGGCGGAGCTGGACTCTGCGGGGGCCGAGTTTTTTCGGGCCCAGCGGGGAAGACAGGCCCGCCGAGGACAGGCCACCGGCTGCTGCCTCCGTGCCGGCCGCCGTGGAAACTGCTCCGGGGATCAGGATCGAAGACGGGCCTGCGAATGGCCCAGCCCCTCGTCGGACTAGAACCAAGCTCGAGCAGCCGTCGGATGTGCCGGCGTGCATCAGGGCCAGGGCGTCTAGTTGTCCCCCCGAGGTCGATTCGAAGCGACCGAGAATCGCGCCTCCCCCGGGGCTCGAGCCTCTCGCCTCTCTCCCCTCTCCCTCCGCGGCCTCTACCTCCCCTGCTCTGCCTCTCTCTGCTCACCCAGCCCCCTCGTTTCCTTTGCCGCCGCCGCCCGACGCTGCTGCCAGCGGAGCCGCAGGGAGCGCGGCGCCAGATGTTGGGGAAGGCAGGGGGCCCGAGGGCATCGACGAGAGGGGGAGACCCCTCGGACCGATGGTGGGCCACCGCGTGCGCGAGTACGAGGCGCGCGGTCAGCCTGCCCTTGAGCGTGGCAGGACCAGTGAAAGGGAGGGCCCCGTATACTCGTCTCGACCTGCCATGACCACTTCTCCTCGTCCTCCGTCCTCCTCCTACCTTGTCGAGGCTTCGTCGTCCGGGGGGGTCGGCCTGGCTGAGGAGGGGGCCGGAGATGAGGTGTTCGCTGCGAGCAGGGGCGGGGGGATTGTTCTAGGTAAGTTGACTCCGGCCGAGCGCCGGAAGTTTGAGCTTTCGGACGATAAGGAGTGGAGCAATATGATGGGGTCCGGGGCCGTGGAGGTTCTGCCGCCCAGACAGGCGGACACGATCAGGAGGACGTGTCCCGAGAGGATTATTACCTCAAGGATGGTGCGGAGGTGGAAGCCGGTGGAGGGTACTTTTTCGGAGCCGGATGCTAAGTCTAGGTGGTGCGTGCATGGTCACAAGGATCCGGACACAGGCACCATGTTTGTGTATGCGCCCACTCCTCAGACGACCTCCATCCACCTCTTCATCCAAGTGATGATGAACCTCGGTCTCAAGGGAGACATCGCCGACGTTAGAAATGCGTTTTGTCAGAGTGATCCGATGAGGAGGTCTCAAGGAGAGATATATGTTGAGCCATGTGAAGGTATTAAGGTCGAGAAAGGCTCGCTCATTAGATTACTTGTCAATGTGTATGGTCTAGACGACGCACCTTTAGCGTGGCGTCGGACCATCGTCGGTTTCCTCAAGGAGCGGGGCTTCACGAGGAGCCTGCTCGAGCCGTGCTGGTGGATAAGATTCGGGCCCGAGAACCAGATTCTCAATATGATGCTCTTGGAAGTCGACGACTTCTTCTTCGCCAGCTCTTCTGAAGAGACTCGGGCGTGGCTCAGCGAGACCTTGCGCGGGCGTTTTCGGTTTGGGAAGTATCGAGACTGTCGCCAGGGGCTGGTGGAGTACGCCGGAAGAAGTGTTCATTTCCGGGGTCAGTGCTGCACTCTCGATATGGGGGAATACATTCTCGAGGAAGTTCGGCCAGTGTCCATGGCTAAGGGTCGTCTTGGCTCCCGGGATCGGGCCCTCCAGCTGGACGAGCTTCGCTCGCTTAGGTCCCTTATTTACAAGCTGAGCTGGGTGGGCCGCGAGACCAGGCCCGAGGCGGCAGGTGCGGCCAGCACCTTGGCCAGCCGCCTCAAGGCTCCGACCACGGACGATGTTGCGTGCGCAAATAAGATGGTGCGTTATCTCCGAGCCACGGCCTCCAGAGGCTTGACCATCTGGAGGCTTGATCCGGAGCGTATGGCGTTCATCTCATTCTCAGATGCGGGAGGAGTGGGTGCCAGTGAAGGCCAGGTCGACGACAAGGGTCTCCCAGAGGACCCGACGCAGGGCGCGTGGTTAATTCTCGCGGCGGACAAGAGCGTGATAGATAATCGAGCTGTCAAGGCCTCGACCCTCGCCTGGCGTAGCTCTAAGCTTAGGCGTAAGGTGACATCTACGTTAGCCGGGGAGACCCAGGCGCTGTGTGCTGCAGTCGCCGAAGTGGAATTTCTCCAGGTGCTCTACCGGGATGCCGTGTTCAGGGATGTTGAGATTACCGACCACTGCCGGGGTTCAGGACCGTTTACTACTGTGTTGCGTCGCAACTGCAGCCTTGGGGGTAGGGAAGAACAAGTCCACGTGGTAGATGCCAAGAGCATATATGATACCATGCTTAAAGATGGTAACGCAAGTGCACGTGATAGACGTACGGCTCTGGATTTGGCGGTGGTGTGTGAATCCTTGGAACAAGCTCGTGGGCATGTCCGGTGGATACCACACGGACGGATGCCCGTAGACACCCTCACTAAGGACGACATTGGGAAGGGGAATGCAGCCTTGGCCAACCTGCTGGCCAATGGCCGCATCGTGCTCATAGACGAGTGCGAGGAGATAGCCAGGCGTCGAGATGCCCCAGGATCCAAGGATCGCTCTCAGGCTGCCTCGAGGCGAACGCTCGAGCAGGACCGGAGGCTGGTGTCCTGGGCCGAGATCCGTGCCTCGGGTTGCGCCGAGTCCACCTCTCTGCATGGCCGGGAGGACTCTCACCTTTCTCTCCCTTCTTCCCTCTCTCCCCTTTCAGCAGAATGATGAAGGGGGGGTGTTGCTGTCTAGATGTGTACAGGTACTGCGTATTCTAGGAGTGCTAAACCTAGAAGAAAGTCAGACCGGTGTGAATGGTCTGCAGTATTTGTGTGTAGGTTTAGCATGTTGTAGAGGATCAGGAGCCTTGGGGTATGACCCTTGCGAGACAAGGGCCGTGATGCCGTAATTCGACATCATTGGCTCAAGATCCATTGGCGGAAAAGGCAATCGCTCATCCTGCTGCTGCCACACCGCGCCCTCAGCATCGTGCGCCGCATTCTCCTTGGGCGAGCATGCAATCTGCGAGCCCATGCTCTCCCTCGAGGGCTCTGTGCCCGCCAAGGTTCGGGGAGCCATTCTCGTCCTCCTGCAGCGCGTCAGCCTGCTGGCTCGGCCCTGGCGACCGCTTGTCACGCACCTCCGGGGGCTGTTTCTGGCCCCTCTCCTGGCAGCCCTCGATCCTCTTCCCGCCCCGCCTGCCCCACGAGCCCTCGCCTGCCCCGCGGACGAAACGCTCGAGCTGCGGGCCGGGCACGGGGCACGACGCCGACGACTTCGATGGCGCCTGCTTTGGACCTTCCTGATCAGCTCGTGTGGCAGACGTCGTGACCGGGGCCAGAGGAAGGGGAGGAGGAGGAGGAGGAGGAGGAGGAGGAGGAGGAGGAGGAGGAGGAGGAGGAGAGGAGGAGGAAGGAGGAGGAGGAGGAGGAGGAGGAGGAGGTAGGAGGAGGAGGAGGAGGAGGAGGAGGAGGAGGAGGAGGAGGAGGATGAGCAGGCAGAGGAGGAGGAGGAGGATGGGAGGAGGAGAGGAGGAGGAGGAGGAGGAGGAGGAGGAGGAGGAGAGGAGGAGGAGGAGGAGGAGGGAGGAGGAGGAGGAGGAGGAGGAGGGGAGGAGGAGGAGGAGGAGGAGGAGGAGGAGGAGGGATGGAGGAGGAGGAGAGGAGGAGGAGGAGGAAAGTGAGGAGGAGGAGGAGGAGGAGGAGGAGGAGGAGGAGGAGGGAGGAGGAGGAGTGAGGAGGAGGAGGAGGAGGAGGAGGAGGAGGAGGAGGAGGAGGGAGGAGGAGGAGGAGGAGGAGGAGGAGGAGGAGGGGAGGAGGAGGAGGGGGAGGAGCAGGAACAGGAGCAGGAGCAGGAGCAGGAGCAGGAGCAGGAGCAGGAGCAGGAGCAGGAGCAGGAGCAGGAGCAGGAGCAGGAGCAGGAGCAGGAGCAGCAGGACAACGATGGTTCGGAGGACGCGCTGGTGCGTAACAGTTTGGCGCGTTAGGGGCTCTCTGCTGCCGCGGCCCAAGTAGACGTACATAATTTTCGCTGGGTCTGCCTCTTGAGCAGGTCATTTCGTAGATCCTTAGATCTCACTCATAGACATATCATCCTCTGTTGTTGCTTGCTTCTGCCCCATCGTGCCGTGTGTCCGTCTCCCTCTGCCTGCTGATACAGCAACGCGCGGATTCGCAGATCATGCCAGCAGTTTTCGCGCTCTCACTCTAGCTGCGCGCCTTAAATGCCCATGTCTTTGAACCCGAGCGAGATGTCAGAACCGCTCGCTGTTGGGCGCCACAAGCCAAGGTCTGCTTGTGGCTACACGTGGACCATGTGACCCTCTGAGGAGGAGGAGGGGGAAGAGGAGGAGGAGGAGGAGGAGGAGGAGGAGGAGGAGGAGGAAGAGGAGGAGGAGGAGGAGCAGCAGCAGCAGCAGCAGGAGGAGGAGGAGGAGGAGGAGGAGGAGAGGTGTCTGGGGGCTGGCGGAGGGGGACCGCGGCGCTTTCTCTGCGGCACGAGTGGGGAGGGAGCTCCCTCGAAAGGGAGCTCCCTCGCCTGCAGCACCGTGCACCGCGCTTGCCCTGGGCAAGCACTTATACGCTGCGCCGCTCGGGGAGCACGCTCTCCCTCCGAGGGCCTGGGGAACCGAGCGCCCGGCCTCCCCCGAGAGCTCGGGGATCGCCTCCTTTCTCTTCCTGGCGGGTGGAGTACTTCACCCTGCTCCCTCGAGGGCTCGGGGAACCTGCTCTCGTCCTCGTCCTCCTCCTCCTCCTCCTCCTCCTCCTCCTCCTCCTCCTCCTCCTCTCTGGCCAGGGGCCTCTTCTCGAGCCTGCCCCTGCTCCTGCTGCTGCTCCGAGCAGCGATGCTGTAGGTGATGAAGGGTCGGTCGAGCCCCAGGCGTCGGCGGGGAGCGTGATGCCCCGCGCCTCTGGGGAGGCGAAGCAGGCGAGCCGACTGCTATGCCTTCCCTGCCTTGACGCCACCAGCGTCGCCAAGTTGCATGGGTTCTCCTCGCCTGATGAGCTTGTTGGGTGGGAGAGGTCCCGTCAGAGAGCTCCTGAGGAGCCTGAATTAATCGACGAGGATTAATTCGTGGCCGTGCGGCCAGGGGCGCCATGTGGCGCCCGCATAGTCAGTACCCTCAGTACCCTCCTCTCTGGCCAGCTGGAGCAGAGAGACTTCCCCAGGGTCCTGAGCGCGAGGCTCTGTACCCTGAGTACGAGGCCTCAGCCGCCGCTTCCCCTCCCCGCACCTCCCCCGTCCGTCTGCTCCTCCTCCTCCTCCTCCTCCTCCTCCTCCTCCTCCTCCTCCTCCTCCTCCTCCTCCTCCCTCCTCCTCCTCCTCCTCCTCCTCCTCTCCTCCTCCTCCTCCTCCTCCTCCTCCTCCTCCTCCTCCTCCTCCTCCTCCTCCCTCCTCCCCCCTCCCTCCTCCTCCCTCCCTCCCTCCTCCTCCCCTCCCTCCCTCTCACCTCCTCCTCCTCTCCTCCTCCTCCTCCTCCTCCTCCGTCCTCCTCCTCCTCCTCCTCCTCCTCCCTGGCCAGCTGGAGCAGAGAGACGTCTCCTTCTCATTACATGTGAGGGGGGCGACATTATTAGGACAGTTTGTCTCCCATGGGCGTCCGCGTCGTCGCAGCGCCGTTTGCACGGCCTTTTTTCTTTGCCACGTGCTTGCGCATGGCTTCCCTGCCCCCTTGCTGACAGCTTCGAGCAGAGGAAATGTGCCCCCTGCTGCACAGCTTCGAGCAGAGGAAATGTGCGCCTTGAAACTTGCTGCACAGCTTCGAGCAGAGGAAATGTGCGTTCGACCATGTACAGGATCAGCCGAAAAAAAGTTGTCTGGAAGATGGCTGAAGAGCGCATTGAGATGGCCTCCAGACGGCACACGAACGCTCGGAGACAGCCCAAAACTGTTCCTAGACGGCCACAGAGGCCCTCAAGACGGTCCAAGAGGCCGCCGAGAAGGCCCCGCAAGGGTAAAAATCAAGCATTTCCGATGGAAGACGTACGTTTCCGGGATATTCGCTTTCTCAGTCCTGACAGCTGCCCAAATGGGCCCAGATATCCCAAGAGGTCCCCAAGATGGCCTCAAGACGGCCTCAAGAGAGCTTCAAGCAGCACCAGAGAGCTCCAAGAGAGTCCCAAGGGGCCCCGAGGGGGCAGCCGGAGGATCCCTACCTGGTCGGAGAGGGCCCCAAGAGGGCCCCAAGACGGGCTCGGCTCCCCATGACGGGCCAAGAGGGACCCGGAACTGCCGAAATGGGCCCTAGGACGGGTCAAAAAAGGCCTTAAAGGACACCCTGAAGACGGTCCAAGAGGCCGCCGAGAATGCCCCCCAAGGGCAAAATTGAAGCATTTCCTATGGAACACCGTATATTTCCAGGATATTCGCTTTTTCAGTCCTATTAGCGGCCACGACGGCAAAGGGTCCCCAAATCGGCCCCAGACGGCCCAAGAGGCTCCCAAGAGGGCCCCAAGACTGCCTGAAGAGAGTTTCAAGCAGCACACGAGAGCTCCAAGACGACCCAAGAGAGTTTCCAGGGGGCCCGAGGGGGCCACTGGAGGATCCCTACCTGGTCGGAGAGGGCCCCAAGAGGGCCCCAAGACGGGCTCAGCTCCCCATGACGGGCCAAGGGGGACCCGGGACGGCCGACATGGGCTCCCAGACGGGCCAAAAAGACCCAAGAGGGCTCCCTCAAGACGGTCCAAGAGGCCGCCCAGAAGGTCTCCCAAGGGCAAGAGTAAAGCATATCCGATGGAAAAACGTATATTTCCGGGATATTCGCTTTTCAGTCCTACTAGCGGCCACGACGGCCCCGTAGGCACCCCAAATCGGCTCACGGCCCAAGATGCCCCCAAGAGGGCCCCAAGACGGCCTGTAGAGAGCTTCAAGCAGCACGCGAGAGGTCCAAGACGACCCAAGAGAGTTTCCAGGGAGCCCGAGGGGGCCACCGGAGGATCCCTACCTGGTCGGAGAGGGCCCCAAGAGGGCCCCAAGACGGGCTCAGCTCCCCATGACGGACCAAGAGGGACCCACGCAGTACAAATTCGCAGCGATAGATGGGTTCGCCCTTCATTCCGTTGTGGTCTTCAACGATGGCGATTTCGATGACATGCTGACTTTAGCTTCTTTTATGCAGAGCGTGAATTACCTACCCCGCTTTCGCTTCCAGGCAAAACCAAGTCATACCACGCGCCTCCTCGTGAAGCGGCCTGACAGGTACGGGCCGTAGTTTGGCATCGATTGGTATCTCTTGGAAGCGAGGGTGGTCAAAAGCGAGGTAGGTGTGTGTCTTCCCCTATTTATCTAGTAGCGGCAGGAAACCACGGGGGCCAGCCGTGCACAGTGCACGGGAATGGTAGTTTGGCCTTCGCGCGTCCACCGTGGACGCCCGCGACGTGGGGATGGGGGGATGGGCAGCCCGAGAGGCACCCCGGACCGCCCAGGGTGCCGACAGAGGCCCCGCGGGGGGAATTCGAACGCACATTTCGAGGCCTCCGCCCTCAGCGGACCCCGACGATCGCCAGCATGCCCCCAGGATGCCCCAAGACGGCTCCAAGAGGACACTCAAGAGAACCCGAAGAGGCAAAGTTTCCCCGTTACCATGGGAAAGCGCACATTTCTATCGCAATCGTTGTTTTCATGTGCCCAGCTTCCAAGACGGGCCCAGGGGCCCCTAGGAGAGCCCCCCAACGGCCGACGAGGTCCCCCGGAGGGCCCCAAGACGGCCCAAGAGGGCCCCAAGACGGCCCAAGAGGAACCCAGGACCGCCCGAGAAGGTCCCAAGAGGGGCTCGTGGGGGGGTGGAATGCGAACCCATATTTCGAGGCCTCGGCCCCACGATGGCCCCGAAGTTCGCCAGCAGGCCCCCGAGGACCCCCCCCGAGAGGACCCAAGAGGGCCACGAGAGGCCTCGAAGAGGTCCCGAAAAGCGTCACACGAGGCTTCACCATTGTTTCCAACAGGCTGCCCAGAGGTTTCCCCAGAGACGCGAACAGGCATTCACGAAGTCTCACACCAACAACCCAGGCTCGGTGGCAGAATGTGCAGAAGGCCACCAGGAGGGGCACACGTGGACGAGGGGCACGGATGCCCGTCCTCTTTGTGTATTCTTTCTGCTGTTCGTCTTCAAGGACTCCCCTTCTCCTTCTGCTCCCGCCCCTCCTTCCCGTTCTGCCCTCGTCTTCGCCGCCGTCATGCTCCTGGACTCTTCTTCCCTTTCTCGACCTCCAAACCGCCCCCCTCGTTTTCTTCGTCTTCCTCCTGGAGTCCCCCGTGCTCAGGCGAGGGCTCTTCACTAGGTGTTTCCGCAGCGCATCCACGCTAAAGTCATATCCGCAACCGTCGCCTCGCCCTCGGCATCTCACGGCGAGCTGGGATTCTGGAGAATCTGAGCGCGCGAAGCGCGCGCGGTGGTTCTAGTATATTCTCATACGCACCTCTCCGAGGGAGTAGAGCTCAGAGGGGATTAATGCGTCCGTGCGTCCGTGCGTGCGTGCGTCTTCGATTTTCCCGGCCGTTTCGCTAGGGACATCCTCAAAATTCTGAAAATCGGTGGCACCCCTCACGCAGATCGTGAAGGAGAGGTCCAAAAACACATAGGATTTTCAACATTTTAACATAACACCTTCAAAAACACATGGTAATTTCAATAATTTTGACCCCGATTCTCAGAGAATGGCGGTTTCGCCTGAGACATCCTCCCAAAATCGAGCCCCAGACCCCTCCTCGGAGCCTCCTGGGGGCCTCCTGGGGGCCTCCTGGAACCTCCTGGGGCCTCCTGGGGCTTTCTGGACCTTCTGGTACCCCAGACCCCGCCTCGGAGCCTCCTGGAGTTCTCCTGGGCCTGCTGAGGCCGCCTGGGGCCTCCTGGGGCCTCCTGGGGCTTCAGAACTACATGCACACACAGAGACACAAATCACGCCCAACACATCACACGCTAGACAAACATAACATACACACACAACACCGACAACACAAAAAGCACGCACCACACAAAGCACACATCACACACACAACACTCACAATCCTGGGGCCTCCTGGAGCCTCTTCTGGTATCCAAGTCGGGCCTCCTGAGGCTTCCTGGGGGGCCCTGGTACACACATCGCAAGGTGTGGCAACCCCACTTGCGCTCGAGTGCGACTTCGCTGTTGCATGTCACTCCTGCTTCAAACGCCCCTTCAGCTTGTTGTATGAGCCTGGGCACACACGTGCCACTTGTATATATATATATATATATATATACACCCTTTTCTATATTTTTACAATCCGGGGGGGTGGGACCCCCCCCCTCCCCCCCCCTCCCCGGAAAATCGACCCCCCGGGATCTGGTGTTTTTGGGGCCCCCTGGACGCCTTGCAAGGGGTCCCCCGGGCCTTCCGGGCCTCCTGGACGCCCCTGCCGGGCCTTGCCAGCGGGCCCAAAGCGGTCAGGAGGGCGGCCAAACGGCCCCGCGAGAGCCCCACGCGGCCCCAGACAGCCCCAAGACGCCCGAAGACGACCCAAAGAAGACCCTCAAGAGGTCCTCCAAGTGCAAAAAAACACATTCCTTTCGTTTTTTTAATTGAATTTTTGGACATTCGGTTCTTCGGTATTCCGTGCGTCCGAGTCCGCCGAAGAGGCCCCAAAGATCCTCCCACAACGGTGTCAAAGGGCTTCCAGACAGTCCAAAAGAGCCCCAATATGGTCCAGCAGGGCCGCAAGATGGCCCCAAGAGAGCCCCGCTGACAGCCCCAGATGACCCCAAGACGCCTCCCGAAGCACTCCAAATCGTGACCCGGTCGTTCAGGGAGACCGTGGTTGGTAGTAAGGTGGCCGCAAGAAGCCCCCAGAGGCCCCCAAAAGGCGCCCAGGAGGCCCCCAGAGGTCCCCAAAAAGCTTTTGAGAGGGGCCCAAGAACATCTCCAAAGAGGAGTCCCTGCAATAAAAACTGGGGATGAGGACAAGGAGTGGCTCGCAGACAGGGAAGATTACGAGTAAGAGGAGAGGAAATATAAGGATAGTACAGAACATTACTATAACGACGATGGCGCAAACGGCAACAATGAATCATCGCTATATTTGGTTCTCCTGCATGCCGAGCTTTAAGAACCAAGGTGCATGGCGCGAAGCGCCAATGCAGTCTTGTATGTATGTGTGTATATATATACAAACGCACAGTTTGGGGTCCACGCTGGCTAACCTAATGTGTATGTATACATGTACATGCATACGCCCGCCTCGTAATAAGGGTGCCGGAAGGGCGCAGGTTCTTCCCCCTGATTTATCGGCAGTTCAGAGATGGGGCCCTGAGAGATGGGG